CAGCAGCTCCACGTCCTTGTGCTGTTGTTCCCAGGGCTGGAGGCAGCTGTGCAGGGGGGTCTCACCTGAGTGGGGCAGAGGGACAGAATCCCCTCCCTCAAACCCATATGTCCAGTAACTTGTCCTGAATTCCTGCTGTCAGCACAGCTTTTCAAAATCCATCCTTCCTGCTGGCAGGGAGCAGGAGGGAGGTCATCTCCCTGGAGCCTGGCTGCCAACTGCAGCTTTTGTGCCCAGAGCTGGGCCTGCGGTGGGAAGAGTCCATCAGCTCTCTGATGGAATGGCTGCTCCTCCCCCCTAACACTTTCCCTGTGCCCAAAAATCCAAGAAGTGCCTCCATAAGCCACTAAGGACAATAAATACGTGCAGAGAGGGTGTTGATTCCGGTGTGATGGGGCTGCTCTCCCAGGAGAACTCGAGATGTTCTTTCCTTGCTCAGCGCCCGGCGCTGTACCCATGAGAGGATGGAACAGTCCTTATAAACAGTCAGCCAGGAGTGGGAATGTGGGGGCTGCTCTCCCTGTTTAAGACAACAGGGTTATCATTCCCTAAAAAGAGGGGACACCTGCCTTCTCCTTACTTCATGGTACATCCATGAGATCCCAGCCAGCAGCATCCATACCAAGGCTGTCTTCTCTGACGCTTTACTTGCCTGCAAAATTCTTCCCGTGTTTCTCCATATTTTATAGCAACAGCTTCTCTGCTTTGCCTTTTGATGTCAAGTTTCTCCTGTGAAACAGCTGGTTTGTCACCACCTCAGACCAGGGAGAAGCACACATTTGGATTTCTGCTGTGAAGTGCTGGGATTTTTACAGTCGTTACGTAGCACTTTAAAGCCCCACGGGGCAGGAGATGGAGCAGGAGGGAGCTGTGTCCCTGCACATCTTTTACTAACAGGACAAAAGGCCTTTTACTAACTGTAATAAATTGGTTTGACGCTTCACACCCGACTTCCTGTGAGTTTGTGAGATGAGGAGCAGGAGGGGATGCTCTGAAGGGCTCTGCTGGCAGTGACACAGAGAGACTGAGGACACTGGTGTCAGGAAGAGGTGACAGGATTTGGGGACAGATTCCAGACCTCGTTTTGGAGCAAGCATCTGTCCTGTTCCAGAGGATGCCCACCACAGCAAGTCCTCCTGTTGGTGGTTGGATGCCCAGGATGAAGACAGGGAAGGTGGTTCCCAAGGCAGCTGAGCTGTGGAAGTCAGGGTACTTGGCCCTGGCTCACGCCTGTGTCCCTTTTGGAGACAAACAGGAAGCTTTTGGGACAGAACAGCCCTTTCCATGCCCTTTCCACACCCTTTCCATGCTGCCTTTTCCACAGGAGGCCCCCGAGGGCTCTGCTGTGGCACTCCATGAACTCCCCTCGCTTTCCCAGCTTTCCTGCTTTCCCAGCTCCAGCTCTTCCAGCCCAGGTATGTGAAACACGTTCAAAATACTCAGAGCTTTGGGCAGTGGAGCTCAGCCAGTCCCTTTTCCACCCAAATGAAGGCAATGCTGTTCTAAAGGAGGTTATTTGTGTTCAGAGAGCTCATCCTTTGCGTCCTATCAGTGCCAACCCCATTTATCCCCTTCCTCCACTCACCCAAAAGGATATTAAAACACACCAACTAAATCTGACCGATCCCTTTGTCCCATTTCCACCCTGGCAATCAGAATTCAGAGAATTCTCAGGGAAATCACCCCACCTTTGTGGGAGGTTGGTGGCTGATCCCTCTGGTATCAAGTTAATGCCGGAGGATTGCGGTGAGCTGGGATTACCCCGGGGCAAGTGAGGAGCACTGCAGGTCGCTGGGCTGCAGTGCCAGGCTTGGCCACACTCCGGGTGTGCCAGACAACAATTAACATTCCGCCTGGGAACCTCTGTCCTGTTACAACCGGGAGACCCTTTTCCTCTTGGATTTCCATCCTTGTTGGTCGTTGCTTACCCTCCTCTTCATGGTCACCTCAGTTTTTCTGCTGCCTGGGTGTTTCCTGCTGTGGCTGATAAATGTGGGGTCAGGGTCTGAAGAGCGGGATGCACAGTATTGGAATTACGATGGGATATAAAGAGGTACTGTGGATTGTGAGATAACAGGGAGAAACTCTTCCCTGTGAGGGTGGTGAGGCCCTGGCCCAGGTTGCCCAGAGAAGCTGTGGCTGCCCCTGTATCCCTGGAAGTGTCCAAGGACAGATTGGATGGGGCTTGGAGCAGCCTGGGCTAGTGGAAGGTGCCTGTGCCCATGGCGGGGGGTTGGAATGAGATTGTCTTTAAGGTCCCTTACTGCCCGTGGTGTTCAGGCCATGGTGGGTGTCAGACTCCCCACATCTGTATTTGCCTCGTCATCTGCATATGCAAATCATATTCAAATCACCCCCTGCGCGCGGCCAAGCCCAGCCGGGCCTACTGCGGATCTTCCCCTCGGCCCCCCCGCGTTGCCATAGTTACCGGGCATGTCAATCACCGCGCCTTCTCCCGCCCCGACCAGACAGCGCCCTCACTCATTGGACCGATGCAGTGCCAATCTCGTCCCAGAGGGAGCCCATAGGCCAGCGCTGCCGCATATCGACCCGCCCCCGCTGGCGCACGCTTCCCATTGGACAGCCGCGCTTGTCACTATACGCGGCCGAGCGCGGGGTGCTCCGAAGCCGCCCCATTCCCGTCTCCCATTGCCGGAGCCGCCTGTCGCTCCGCGCGCCGGGGGGCGCGGATTGGCGGGCGCCTCACGGGGTGTCCCGCCCCGCGGGGCAGCGCGGCGCAGGCGCGCCGGGGGCGGTGGCTGCGGCGGCGGCGGAGCGGGAGCGGGGCAGGAGCGGGAGCGGGAGCGGGGCCGGGCGGCCCATGGGGCCGGGCCGCGCTGCCCATGGAGCCGCCGCGCAGCTGCGGCGATGGCGCGGAGGAGGAGAAGAAGCCGCGGCGGCGGGGCGGCGGAGCGGACGCGGGGCCGCCTCAGCTGCGGCGGCGGAGCAGCGGTGGCGCGGACGGTGCGGCGGGGCCGCAGCCCCGCGAGCGCGGCGGGTCCGTGAGCCGGCAGCGGCGGGACTCGGTCCGCAAGAACCGCCCGCGTGAGTGAGGGCGGAATGAGGGGGGGGGGAGCGGGGGGGGGGGGGGGGGGGGGGGGGGGGGGGGGGGGGGGGGGGGGCTGTGGTAATGAGCGAGGGGCGGGGCTGCGGGGGACGGCAAGGGTGGGGATGGGGACAGTGGGACAGCACGGGGGGCTGGTGGCAGGGACACGGCGTGGCCGGTGCGGGGACAGCACAGTGGGGACACGGGGGACTGGTGGCTTGTCCAGCGTGGCCAGTTGGGGTGGTGGCACGGGGACATGAGCAACCTCGGGACAGCACAGTGGGGTATAGGCGCGGGCACAGCATGGCCAGTCTGGGGACGACACCGTAGGAACATGGTGAGGTGATGACTTATCTGGCATGGCCAGTTTGGGGACTCAGTGTGGTGGTGACATGGGCACAACATGACCAGTGTAGGGACAGCACGGTGGGGACACAGTAGGGTGATGACTTGCCCAGCATGACCGGTTTGGGGACGGCACAGTGGGGTGGTGGCATGGGGACACCATGGCCACTTCTGGGACAGTGCAGGGGGGCTGATGGTTATGGGCACAACATAACTAACTGGGGGCAATATGGGGGGACACAGTAGTAGTGGGGTGATGACTTGGCCCCAGCATGGCCGGTTTGGGGACAGCACAGTGGGGTGGTGGCAGGGGCACGGCATGGCCACTCTGGGACAGCACAGGGGGGACACAGTGGGACAGTGACATGGGCTCAGCAGGTTGGGGCAGAGGGTGGGTCAGGCTGAGCTCCAGGCACTCTGGGAGTTTTAGGATGAGGCAGTGCCTGGCAAGGTGGGGCAGGACATGGGATGGGGCTGTAGCAGGTGCTGAGATGCCCAAATCGAATGGGAGAGAAGGTGACTGGTGACACAGAGGGCAAGGAGAAGGGCACAGAAGGACAGACGGAGGGGTGGGGTATGAGGGTGTGGGGCTGGACTGGTAACTGGGAAAGCAAATGGAGAGCATAGGGAATGGTGTCAGTTTTGGGAGGGAAGAGCCCCAGGGGGTTGGCAGGGGTTGGGCGCAGACCAACCGAGCTTTGTGAGGAGGTAAAAACCATCCCTAAACCCAGGTTTTTAAATGTCCTATTGGAAACTGCAAAATGGATGGCAGCCTTCATTTTGGGAGCAGCAGGAGCTGCCGTGCAGGTGCCGTGGCTGTCACTGCCTTCAGCCATGTTTGAGGAGGGACCGAGCGATTATTCCTTGACTTTCGCTGGAGTCCTTCCCTCCTCCTGGAAGGGAACTGCCATTCCCTGAAAATGAAACAGCGTCAGTGTAATTCCTCAGTACCTGCACAGCTATTAAGAGGATGTGAGCAATGAATCCAGACTGAAAACAGGGATCAGGATTCTCCTACATCTCGTCTCCTGGCTGGCAATGCCGAGACGTTGTTGTTACCATATCCGTGTGAAGTTTTAATGGTGTTCTTGCTCTTTTTTTGGGTGCTGGCAAAAAAAGGAAGCCTCTCTTTTTCCCTGTCTTAGTGTGAAAAATAGGAATAGGGATCTGTGGGGCTGTTAATTAGAGACCTGCTGGTTAGCAGGCTGCAGGGACATGAAGGAGATGTCTGGTACGAAAATGAGGGAGGACTCGGAGCTCTGCGTTAGGTGATGATTCTCCTCTGCCTTGCTCAGGGCAGTTTCTGTGTCTCCTCTGGAAAATATGGATTAAAGTTGGCCACTGAGGTTCTGGTTTGTTGTGGTGGAGTTAAATGCAGAGAGTGGTGTGGGATGCTTTAAAGAAAACAGGTGTTCTGGCAGCTTCCAAGAGAGGATTTGGATCCCGTCTGGAAGGTCAGCGTGGCGTGACTCGGGATTACAATGTAGCCTGTCCTTCCTAAATGATTCTTGGGATAATTGGAAGAGAAATGTGCGTCCCTTAGCAGGGACAATGCCTGGTGTCAGGGTAAATCACATTTTGGAGTTAAAATGCTTGATCCCACCTCAAGGAAGACTTGAGCCGAAATGAAGGCAAAGCACTTAATGGGCATGGGATCAAAAATGTCCTACTTAAGCTCGCACTTGTCTGCTGCTGGCATGTGGCAAACGGGCTCAGTGACCTTGAGGCTTGTCTTGCCTGGCTGTGCTGGCAGATGCCCTGGCAGATGAGCCCCCACTTCCCCAGGAATGAAAGGATTTCAGCAGGCTCGTGATCCTCCTTCCTCGTCATCCTTTTGTGCCGGGATGTGCAGCCAGGGCTGTTTCACTGCGGAGATCAGGGAAAGTCTGAGACCAAGGGGGACTGGGTTTGGGATAGACCTGAAATAAGAAGTGCAGCCCATGTCCCAGTCGTGTGCCTTCATGCACCTCGGGTTTTTAAATCCCCTGGAAATTTGAATTCCCAGTCATGTGCATGTGGCACTTGGGGACACGGTTTACTGGTGAAGATGCCTGGGTTAATGATCTTGGGAGGTCTTTTCCAACCTAAAGGCTTCCATGATTCTGTGAAATGTTTCTTGGTGCACTTCAGGAACTGAAGAGCTTTCCTGCAGCATTTTCCGTGTGCCACAGGCAGAAGGGGCAGAAGTCAAGGACACTGTTGCTCTCAGAAGGGAGTGAGAAGTGTCCCTGAAAATGAGGAAATTTGTTGAAGCTTTGGAGTGTTATGTTGACAAGAGGAGCCCGACAGGGTTATTAGTGCAGGCAGACATTAGTTCTCCAAGAAAAAGTGTTCTTTCCTTTCAACTGATCCCTATTTTTTAATAAGTTTTAGTATCTCCTGTCAGAATCATGTAAAGACAAAATGGACACATGGCTTTAAATTCTCGATGTAAACAGTATCCAAGCAGAGGTACAAATAAAATGCTGTTTTGACACCTCTTTTGTCATTCAAAATTCAAGCTTTGATTTTTTTTAAATACCTTTTTTCCCTTTTGGAATGCTGTAAGAAATATGAATTCCTATCAGAGCCTATTTTTAGGAATGGGAGGAGATGTAGACTTAGTGTCACTTTAAATTAAATGCTAATTAATTGTATTTTTTTCCCAGCTGTAGAATTTCCAGCCTGGTATAACACTATTAAAATATAATATTGAATATTTTAGAGTAAGCCTAGAGGTGCTGTCACATACTCAACTAAATCATCAGCTCCATGGGCTAATCTTTTTAGCTCCTGATATAATTGGCTCAGAAGTTAAGGATCACTCTGAAATACAACTTGAGCTGCTTGGTTTGTGAAGAAAATCCACCATGGAGATCTTTAATTATATCACCCCTTTCATCTTGACAGTTCTGCAGCTTCCAGAATAAGTCTGTTGAGGTTTGTTTTTTTTTTTTTTATTTATACAGTGTCCAATTTTATGAAGTAATTTACATATCAGATAAAGGCATTTTCTTTTTCTTGCCCCCAAGATCTTGCAGACTGCAAAGGGGATTTGAGGGCAGGGTGGCAGCTCTTGCTGTGGGCACACAAGTCTCCTTGAGCTTTTCTGTGATTGTTTAGTCTGAGCTGTGATTCCCCAGCTTTGCTGGCCTTTTGTTTGTTGATGTGTATCCCTAGATCTGCCCCTGAGGAGAAGGTCTGTTTTTAACACAAAGAGCTGTGTATATGAAAATATTTATAGAGAGATGCTTTTAAAATTGTCTGTGCTCAGGGAAATTGAGGCTTTGTCAGGCCAAAGGATGAAGAATTTTTTTCTTGGGGGAAAAAAACCCCCGTCTTCAAGACAGTTGATAGCTGCTGTTGGGATGTGTTTCCTTAGGGAAGGAAATGAAAATAAGGCTCGTTGTTGTGTGTCTGAGCAACACGGTCTGAGTGGAAGGTGTCCTTGCCCATGGCAGGAGGGTGGAGTGAGATGATCCACAAGGTCCCTTCCAACCCAAACCATCCCACGATTCCATGTGCTGAGCGGGGCCACGGACTCTGCTGGTCCCTTGAGTCACATTCCTTGTACCCCTGATGTTTTTCCACTGAATACCTTGGATTCATTTTTGTCTTACACACAGAAGAGGTTGCTCCAAGCCCTGTCCAGCCTGGCCTTGAGCACTTCCAGGGATGGGACATCCAAGCTTCTCTGGGCAACGCATTATCCAATGTTGAGAGTGGGATTCGTGGCTCTCATCCCGTAACAGGGCAACAGGGAGTTTCTTTAAGGAGAAAGACTGTGGAAAGTTTTGAGCTGAGAGCAGAGGATTTCCTGCCTTTCTTGTAAATGCCCAAACACCCAGTGAACAACTAAACACTTCCCAGGAGGTGCTGGACAACGATGCTCTTCCCATGCCAGCCTGCAGGTTTGCCATCCTTCCCATCCCGGCTTGGAAAGGAGACCTGCAAGGCTCTTCCCCGGCAAGGAGGGCTCCAAGTAGCAGCAGGGAGGAGGTGAGGGAGAGGCAGCATTTGCATTTCCTGCCTTGGCCATTAAAGCTGCTGTCTGGTTATTCCAGCAGAACCTTCTGACTGAGCACAATCAGCCTCGGGGACGCCCAGGGGCTCCGGGATGCCACCAGTTCTCCTGCTGCTCCTCGAGATCCGCGGCAGCTCTCTTGGAAAAACTGCTTCGGAGGATTAAAAGGGAGAGATCTCTGGATGGCTTTCAGCTGCTGGGGGAAAAAAAAAAATAAATCAGTGTTTTAAGAGAAATCTCAGAAGCAGATGGCGATGGCGTTCATCCAGGAGAGCTTCCTCCTTCCTCCTTCCTCCCTTGGATTTTTCTAGCTCTCAGACATGGAAGAGCTGTCGGTGCCCTCCATGTTGCTGTTGTCTGACTTCCTGTAAGAGTCAGGAGAAAAAAATGACATGGTTCTCCATGTCGTTGAAATAATTTCCTCCTCTTGTTTGTGTGCCACTCCCCTTTCCTACAAAAACAGGTTTATAGGGAAGTTTTGTCCCTGTCCTGGATTATTTGAGTTCTCTGACAGGTGTTACTGCACAGGGAATCCTTTGCAGGATGGGAGAGAAGTACTTAATTCTGAGCTCACACGCTGCTTCCTTGGATTCTTGACCTGTGGCTGGGATGTATATAATGAGAGATCCATAATTAACAATCATTTGGTGTGAGTTAATTACCTTAATAGGCTGTCTTTCAGAATTTATCCCTGGTGGCTTAGGGAAGGTAGGGCCGATCCGCTGGCAGATGGAGAACACCAGCTGCTCCATGTGGAGCCTTTCCAGCTGGTCCCACAGGGATGTGTGAGCCGGCTCTGGTCAGAGGTTCCATCCCAGCTCAGGGGGTCAGATCCTTTGGGGCCGGTGCTGAGTGGGGATAGTGAGCCCTGAGCCCAGCCTGTCTGCAGTTACTCCCAGCTCTGCAGGCACCATTCCTGTTTCCCTGTTTCTGGTGGGACAGACTGTGGATAACTGGCCGGTTTAACCCCACGCTTCGTGTTCTGCTCATTATAACAACAGCCAAATAGAACCTGTATTTATAGATATTAAAAAATGCAAGGTCTCGATGGCACTGAGGATGGGATAAAATTTCCAAGGAGCTGCTCCCTCTTTTTGTGGCTAGGAAGCTTCCTAAACTGATGGACCCAGCTGCTGCTCGCCCTGAGATCTGGAAGGTTTGAGTGTAGGAGTTTGGTGTGTGAGCTTCACAAGAGGCTTTAAAACAAACATGTTTTACTGAACCCATCATGTGCCACCAGCTGGATGCTGGGAAGCAGGAGCCCGTTAGCCTTGATGGAGCAGCCCCTGTAGCATTTCTAGGCACGTGGATTCATGGAGCCACTGTGCCTTGGTTTTCGGATATTTGTCTTTTCCGCTGCACCTCAGTGATGCCATCTCCAAGTTCCATCCTCTGCTCACTCCCTGGTTTTACCCTTGTGAGTTTGGGGGAAGGTTGTTGTCTGAATACAACAGTGGGGATGCTTTGGAAAAAAAAAAAAATCTAATGTAGGCTTCATAATGCAGAAATCAACTTGCATGTCCAGACAGGAACAAATATGTTCCAGAAATCACAGAATCACGGAATGGTTTGCGTTGGAAGGGATTTGAAAGAGCATCTCATTCCAACCCCTGCCATGGGCAGGGACACCTTCCACTAGCCCAGGTTGCTCCAAGCCTGGTCCAGGCTAGCTTGTGCGCTTCCAGGGGTGGGGCAGCCACAGCTTCTCTGGGCAGCCTGTGCCAGGACCTCCCCACCCTCACAGGGAAGAATTCCTTCCCAATATCCAACCTAAACCTACTCTCTTTCAGCTTACAGTCATTACCCCTTGTCCTATCACTATCTACACGGGTAAAAGTCCTTGGATTGCTCTTGCTTTCTCCCTCTGTTGGGCTGCCATTCAGATTCCTTTCCCTTTCATTCATGAAAAGTTATTTTTATGTCTGTTCTTGTTTGAAGTAAATGCCTCGGTAATGGGGAGTGATTGGGATTTGGACGCGTCTCCAAAAATAGAGCTCTGCATCTCCTTTCAAGATTTCCTTTGGTGACGGTTGGGGGTGGCCTCTATGGAAATATGTAAAAATAACTCCGTGGGTTAAAAATACCGTGGGGAGCTGCCGGCTCCAGCAGCTCCTGGGAGCTGGAAAGCTCTGGAAGGGGCTGTACAGCCACCAGGTGAACCTGCTGAGGAGAGAACACGTCCTCCTCAAGCCTGCTGGGCTGGTGGCTGTGCAAAGATCATTCCACAAAGAACCTGACCCGAGGGATTCCTGCTGGAAAGGATGGGAGGAACGAGGGCTTCTTTGTGTTCCACCCTTATCTCTCTGCAGATAAGCAAACATATTGTGCACAAATAACAGCAGTGTGTTATCACCCCTGTCTCTGACCTGTAGGAGTTATACTAAAATGCAAGATCCTTCTTTCAGATCCTTCTTTCAGTTGGTAATGCTGGAGCGTGCCTGGGGGAAGGGGCTGGAGCAGCAGGAGCAGCTGAGGGAGCTGGGGGGGCTCAGCCTGGAGAAAAGGAGGCTCAGGGGGGACCTTCTGGCTCTGCAACTCCCTGACAGGAGAGGGGAGCCGGGGGGGGGGGGGGGTGTCGGGCTCTGCTCCCAGGGAACAAGGGATAGGAGGAGAGGAAATGGCCTCAAGCTGTGCCAGGGGAGGTTTAGATTGGATATTGGGAAAATTTCTTCCTGGAAAGGGCTGTCCAGCCCTGGCACAGCTGCCCAGTGCAGTGTTGGAGTCCCCATCCCTGGAGGGGCTTAAAATCCCTGTGGATGTGGCACTTGGGGACAGGGGTCAGTGATGGCCTTGGCAGTGCTGGATGGTCCCAGAGGGCTTTTCCAAACTTTATGGTTCTATGATTCAGGTTTATTTTCTAAGCATTCCTTTTTTTCCTTCTGGAACACACTGTAAGGGTTTAATCCTGCTGCTGTGAGCCTGAACATGTGGCTGCATTTCTCCCTTTGCCGTGGAGCCCGTGCATCTCGTTAGCTCCAGCCTCTCCTTCAGCTCATTAATAGTGATATTAATCTGTTCCAGTTCCCAGCTCTAATCGCAGATTCCATCAGATCAGGGGTTTCTCTTGATCTTTTCCAAGCAGCTCATTATCCAACACAGCTGCAAATGTTGCTGGGCCTGACACTGATGCATATTTTGTACCATGGGGGAATTTGACTAATAAAATAATCCAATTAGACATTTGTTTTTGTCTCCCTGGGGCATCTTAGATTACTTGTCTACCTCAGCTCCGTGTTGTAATTAGGGAACGTTTGTACATCCCTTTGATGTAAAAGCACTGGTGTTATCCATGGCTCTGGCTCCAGTTCAGAACTTGGGAAGAGGAAGAGCTGGGGATTAAACCTGCAGCAGGATCTGGTGGTGGGGGCTATGGATACTGTCAGATCCTGGGGGGGGAGAGTGTCAGTGTTTTGAGTGTTGTACAGCAAATATTCAGAGCTCCTGAACTCCAGGGATCTCCAAACAGGAGTTGTGCTCAACATTGGAGAAATCTCCTGTCAAAGACATTTCATGCTGCCAACATTCCTGTCTTTGCTTTCCACTTGAAACTAAACAGACCACACGGGTCCCTGGAGAATTCCATGAGTTAATTCAGTTTATAACTATTTTCACAGCGTCGTGGAATGCTTTGGTTCGGAAGGGACCTTAAAGGTCATCTAATTCCAGCCTTTCCACTGGAAGGGTGCTGGTGCCATGGCAGCACCACACCCTGTTTCATGTTCCCCTTGTCTCCTCTCTCTCTAGTCTTTCCCTGGTTTGGCCTGGACATTGGAGGGACCCTGGTGAAACTCGTCTATTTTGAACCCAAGGACATCACGGCGGAAGAGGAAGAGGAAGAAGTGGAAAACCTCAAAAGCATCCGCAAATACCTGACATCCAACGTAGCCTATGGCTCCACAGGCATTCGGGATGTGCACCTTGAGCTCAGGGACCTTACCCTGTGTGGACGTAAAGGCAATCTGCACTTTATACGCTTTCCTACTCATGACATGCCTGCTTTTATCCAAATGGGAAGCGAAAAGCACTTCTCGAGCCTCCATACTACCTTATGTGCCACGGGAGGTGGAGCGTACAAATTTGAGCAGGACTTTCGCACAGTAGGCATTTTTGGCTTCTATACCGTTAGGATCTGGTAGTGACGTTTCTTTTGAGGGCTTAGAACTAGAAAACTCCCTCTGCAGACTCTTTAAAAACTCCTCTAAATCTTGATTTCGGAAGTGTCTCCCCCCCCCTAACTCCAGTCAGGAATTGCCGCGTGGAGTCAGGTTGAATTGTCCAAATTAAAACACTTCCTTCCCTGAGCTTTCTTCCCCGATGTGCATGTAACGTCCTGTCACTCTAAATTAATTGCTCACCAATGTTCTTTCTTACAAATCTTCCTCTCTGTTTTTAATCTCTGCTGCTGCTGGTCTCGGTCTCGTGGGTTATTTTTTTTTTCCTCATTGCTGTCTTTCGCCTGCTTTATTTTCTTTCTTTGCTCACCTGGTTTCATTTCTAACACCCGTGTGTGAGTGAGATGGTTGAAGTTCAGTCAGGTTTGGGGGTAAATCTAACTGTCAGGAAGTTCACAGTTGGGGTTTGACTTCATCATGTGGCTTCGTTCTGGGTTGGATCCTTGTTCACAGGTGAAAAACATGTGTGATAAATACTTGTTTCATCAGGGCTTGGAAAAATGCAAATAAGTGGGCTTTTCATGGAATCACTGAGGTTGGAAAAGGCCTTTAAGACCACTAAGTCCAACCCTTAACCCAGCACTGCCAAGGCCACCACTAACCCATGTTCCCAAGCGCCACCTCCACAGGGACTTTAAATCCCTCCAGGGATGGGGACTCCACCCCTGCCCTGGGCAGCACAACCCTTTGAGTGGAGAAATTTTTCCTAATATCCAGTTTTGTGCAGTTGAGGCAGTGGCATGAGGGGAAAATAATTTTGTAACTCCTTCACCTTTTTTTTTGATGTTTGTTTGGATGGGTTTTGTTGGATATTTTGGTCAAACAAAGAAGCCCCTCCTCACTTCTCCTGACTTTTCGTGCCAGTGCCTCAGCGTCAGGGCCTGAATCAGGCTTGTGGGAGTTTGTGGGATTCTCTCTTGTGTCCATCTATGGATCCAGGTGTCTGTTTTCCCTGCACACCAGAAGGTTGGGATAGCTGGGACTCCCCGTGCTCTCCTGTGACCTGTTCTTCCCCAGGCTCTGCAGGGAGCATGGAGATAGCTTGGATTGAGCTGGCAGTGAATGCATTTTTCCAGCCCTGACCGTAAGCCCTTCACATCCCTGCCTGCTCCTTCAATATTCCTCTTTTTCCTTCCCACCAGATGGGTGACCTTGAGCTTTGCAAGCTCGATGAACTCGATTGCCTTATTAAAGGGGTGTTGTACATCGACTCCGTGGGATTCAATGGACACTCGGAGTGTTACTATTTTGAGAACCCAACGGATGCTGAGAGGTGCCAGAAGCTCCCATTCAACCTGGAGAATCCATACCCTCTCCTCCTGGTGAACATTGGCTCAGGGGTCAGCATTCTGGCTGTCTACTCCAAAGAAAACTATAAACGGGTAACGGGCACCAGGTGAGCGCTGAGGGGGGGAAAAAAGGGAGTTTTATTTTGGAGTCTGGAACACGTTCCTGCCTTGTAAATCACATTTTCAGGGACAAACTGCAGTAAAGGTGGTGTGTGGAATGACCAAGCTCCTGCTTTTACTGCAGTCCCTTCTCCCTGCCAGCAAAGATCCCTCCTGGAAGAGAGGATCTGGATTTCACGTTTTGGTGTCTTTACTGCAGCCAGTCTGTCAAAGCTGGTTTTTCAGTTGCCCTGCTGCAGGAATTTAAGGGTTTTACTGATCTGCTTGATTAGATCACCTAGTTTGGGATTATCCCAAATACAGTGATCATCTTAACAACTCTTAGCCTTGATCCAAGCAGTCAAGATTTCCATCCTGACTTCCAGAATTTGCCTGATTTTGCTGGAAGAGATGATGACTTAGCAGTAATTCCCCAGTTCTTGCCCCTCCTGAAGATGTGGCTCTTGTGTCCAGGCAAAGCAAAATATTTCTGTAGCTTTAAGCTTTCCTGAAGACCCAGAAAGTTAGCAGTAATAATGAATAATGAAGAAATAATATAATATTAACATTTGTAATAATAATAATGATTGTAAAGCCCCTCAGTACAGTTCCTACTCTTACTATGGATCATTATTGGGATCTGTACATGATGAAGTGAACAAAGTTTTTTCCCCAGATTTTGAATGGCTCTGCCCTGACACTCCAGTTATCCCTCAGAACTAATATTTATTTTAAGATTAACATCTCCTGAGTGCTGGGAAGAAGGTGGATGGTGTGAAATAGAAAATCAAGGTCTCGTTTAGCACCAGTGGCCTGTGCAGAAGGCTGCGAGGGATTCCTTGCAGGCTGTAAGTTATGTGAAAGGAACAGATTTAAAGGAGGTTTTTTAATTCTGCTTTACTTGCAGCCTTGGAGGGGGAACCTTTTTTGGTCTCTGCTGCCTTCTCACGGGATGCTCCACCTTCGAGGAGGCTCTGGAAATGGCATCCCAGGGGGACAGCACCAAAGTGGACAAACTGGTGCGGGACATCTACGGGGGAGACTACGAGCGGTTCGGGTTGCCAGGCTGGGCTGTGGCATCCAGGTAAACGACCTCCCTGGATTTTATTGTCTCTGGAGGTCCTGCAAGCATGAAAGTCTGGACTTAAGTGGCTCAGGAGAACAGCCATTCCTGAGAGATCTTGAGTTACTGATAGCAATGCTTTTTAAAGTTAGAAATCATAGGAATCAATCCTTCAAGATAAATTGCTTCGGTTAAATTAGCAGTTCCCATTATCTCCTGGAATTCTGATGGGACCTTTGACCCTAAAACTGTCTTTACAGCTTTGGAAACATGATGAGCAAGGAGAAGAGGGAATCTGTCAGCAAGGAGGACCTGGCCAGGGCCACCTTAATCACCATCACCAACAACATCGGCTCCATAGCGCGGATGTGTGCGCTCAACGAGGTATTTTGGGGGATCTCTTCCCTTGCTCCCTGACTAGAACATCACCTCTGTGCTGCTGCCTGTTTGAGGGACGTGCCTCTTGTTTGAGGAACAGCTCTGGGAGAGGAGGAAAGGAGGGGTGGAGGATGTGGAGGCTGGATGTCTCCCCCGTGTTGTTTTTACGAGTTGTTCTGGATTTCTTGGCCAAGCCCCACCAACCCCACGGCTGTTCCTGTATCTTTGGGCTTTCAGCTTCTTTACAGTGCTGCCTTGTTGCATTCATGTCAAGCAGCATTGTACAGGGCTATGAAAGAACAGAGACATCCTCTGCACTGCATCCTGAGCCTGCTCCCATGGGATGAGCTAGGGGATCTGGCATCCTCCTGACTCCTGGATCTCTCTTTACCTTCATTTGCTGACAAAATGATGCAACACATGTCCTGAACAGCCTTGAACTGACTTATTTTCTTGTTGGAGAACAAGCAACTTTAAAGCTCATTGCTTGGCTCAGAACTATTTTGGGATTAAAGTTAGGCTGGAAGTCGGACTTGAATCTAATATATTGGTTGGTCTTTTCCTTTCTTTCAGAATTGTGTTGGTTATGGGCTTCCAAATAGTTTTTTTCCTTCAGTTTAACAGTAGAGAGTCACTCAGCTGTTTAATGATGAGTCAAAGGCTGGAGTTCAGGGGAGTTGGGGAGATGGCACTTGGTGGTCAGTGTTCCCAGTCAGTACAAGGATTTCATAGCAAAATCAACTATTCCATTCCAATTCCTGAGCTGAGAAGGCTGTAGTTGAGCCTGGGGATTTCTGGGCAGTGAAGAAGAGCCTGGGTTAAAGTGACCTGGCCTTGCTTTCTGAGAGAATTGTGGGTATTTTTAATGTTCTGCAGATCCTGCCCAACACTTTCAGCAGACAATTCATGCAATCACAGAGTCATTGAGGCTGGAAAAGCCCTCTAAGACCATCCAGTCCGACTGTTCCCCCAGCACTGCCAAGGCCACCACTGACCCCTGTCAGAGAGTTGCAGAGCCAGAAGGTCCCCCCTGAGCCTCCTTTTCTCCAGGCTGAGCCCCCCCAGCTCCCTCAGCTGCTCCTGCTGCTCCAACCCCTTCCCCACATGGGGTTTTCACCACTACAAGCAGAAAAAGGAATTTAGCCTTAATACTCCCTTTTTTTTCCGTAAACACTTGCAGAACATCAACCGCGTGGTGTTCGTGGGCAACTTCCTTCGGATCAACACCATCTCCATGAGGCTCCTGGCGTATGCCCTGGACTACTGGTCAAAGGGACAGTTAAAAGCACTTTTCTTGGAACATGAGGTGAAATTTCCTTTTTAAAATCTCTTTCCTCTCATGGGAAAATGTGAATGCTCTGGAAGCAGCCCTGTGGAGCTGTTGGTGGCACCCACAGCGCAGCAGGTCCTCAGGGTTGGGTCAGGAAAAACGGGGATATTGTTCCACTAGCTGATAGTGGAATTGTTTACCACCAATTTCATCTTGTCTGTGAACTGTAAAACCATTTGCTCAGTTTAGATGTGTAACTGTTTTGCAGCTCTGCTTCCTGATACAGCCATTGAAGTCAGATTTTTGTATTTTATTTTATTTCTTATTTTATAGTGTACCTACCTGCAGTTGTGTCTTTCCTTTATATACACAGTATGTGTAATAGCCTGGGGAAGAGAAGGCTCCAGGGAAACCTTTGGGCACCTTTCAGGGCCTAAAGGGGCTCCAAGAGGACTGGAGAGGGACTTTGGATAAGGGCCTGGAGGAACAGGACAAGGGGGAGTGGCTTCCCACTGCCAGAGGGCAGGGTTAGATGGAAGGAATTGGGAAGGAATTCTTGGCTGTGAGGGTGGGGAGGTCCTGGCCCAGGTTGGGCAGAGAAGCTGTGACTGCCCCTGAATCCCTGGAAGTGTCCAAGGCCAGGTTGGACGGGGCTTGGAGCAACCTGCGCTAGTGGAAGGTGTCCCTGCCCATGACAGGGGGGAGTTGGAACTGGTTGATCTTTGAATTCCTTTCCAACCCAAACCATTCCATGATTCTGTGGCTGTGACTGTTGTCAGGTGTGTGTCCCCGTCTGAGTTCTCAGTGATATTCCCGTTGTTCCTCAGGGTTACTTCGGCGCGGTCGGTGCTCTCCTGGAACTCCTGGACTCCGCCTGACCCCCTGCAGACTGTGTTGGACCCACGGATTCGGGGCACTCCCTGGGCTGCTGGTTTGGAGGTCACTGAGCCCACGTTTCACCTGCTCAGACTGTTCCCTGGGGTGCCCTGTGGGGTCAGCCCAGGGCTGGGTGTTTGTCTGTGAGAGATGAAATCCATCTGGGATGCCAGCGCAGGTTTGTTCCAAAGGACGTGCGTGGGAAGCACTGGCTGGATGTGGGGGTGTATGGGAAGGTCTGTGGGGCATTTCAGTCACATGAAATTGCCCTTTTTAGGTAGTTTACTCCGTGTTTAATGGCGGTGACAAAGCAGAGGACGGGCACTCTGCTCCTCCCACCGGGATCCCTCGGAGTGCTGAGTGCCCAGGTCACAGTTCTCTGTTCACAGTCAAAGCTGTTGCGTTCTCCATGTGCTGGGAAGGGTCTGGGAAGAGGGAAGAGCATCAGCATTAGCCCTGTTGTGTAACTCCCTACAGAGCACTTGATCCGTGGTGGCCTGTGGGACACCCTGTGCTGGCAGCCAGGCTTTGTTCCTGTTCCACACGTCCTTATCTCTGTCCTAGGGATGGAAGGTACGGCACAGCACGGATCTGTGCCTTGGGGGGATTCCCATTTCAGCCTCCAGCACTCCTACACAGCCCCTTTGGGACAGTGTTAGGGGTGTCTGCCTGTCAGCCTCCAGCCTTGAGATCTAAAAGCAGATTTGAGGATGAAATGGTGGGATTTGTTGTTTGTTTGTTCGGGATTTTCCCTCCATTATCAAACTTGGCTGCACAGAGCTCCACCAAAGAGACGCTTCCTTCGGTCACACTCGGATCTCTGTCACGTTCCATGTTGCATTTATTAATGGCTGCACTCCTGGCGTTTTTGGGGAATCCTCCCCCTTCCCACGTGCGTGCTGTGCTCCCAGTTTTCCCTGTGCCTGCTCCCACACAGCCCGCGAGCGAGGTGGAACCCCTGTGGAAGCTGCACCCTTGGGATGGGGTTGGGATGGATCCTGCACGCTCAATAAACGCTCTCTCAAAGCAACGAGGTATCTGTACCTTCCCTCAGGATGGGAACTCACGGAGACACGGCTTTGGAGCTGCTCTGGCTTCCCAGGGAGCAGCTCCATGGAGCAGCTGCCCTTCCCTGAGCAGGGGAAGCTGTTCAGATCCTTCACATCAGGTCACAGTTGTCGGGCTTTATCCCAGGATATCAGAATGACCGTCACCCTGACTCCAACACACACTTTAAGATCCTGGTTTCCTTCCAGAGAAGCTGAATTCCAACTCTTCTGATCCCCACACCCCTCATGAGCCCAGGTGGAAAGGCTGGGAGCTTGTAAGTCCCATCCAGCTCTGCCCATTGCTGCATCCCGAGGTGGGATCCTTGTGGGGTGCTTCCCTCTGGAAGGGGAAGAAACTCTGGATTCAGGAGGTGTTTGCTTTGCTGGTTAGATCAGTGTGGTGCCCCTGTCAGCTCTGCTGGGTAAGTCCAGGCCATGGACACGGAGTGGAGCATCTCCCAAACCTCAGCTGAGTCTAGGCTGGAATCTGGGACACAGCCACGGATTTGACAACAGTAAAAAAGGGGGAAAAGAACACAGAGCTCACATGGAAGATGATCTGTGCTGGATGGGCAAGAAAATGTGCTTTTCCTGCAGCATAACAGGTTTTGGTTGTGTCCTGCTCTGTGTTCCATAATGTGGTGCTTCAGAGGTGAGGGCTGGGAGCAGGATCATACAGGTCATGGGATGGTTGGGGCTGGGAGGGACCTTAAAGACCATCCAGTTCCACCCCCTGCCACCGGCAGGGACACCTTCCACTGTCCCAGGTTGCTCCAAGCCCCATCCAACCTGGCCTTGGGCACTTCCAGGGATCCAGGGGCAACCACAGCTTCTCTGGGTGAGTTGTTCACTTTCTCATTTATTCTTCATTTCTTACAAAATCACACAAAAGGTGCCCAAACTCAGTGCATTAAAAACAGCTCCACTTCCCAGGTGTTGCCTGAAGGGTGTCCAGGCTCGGCTCTTTCTGTACCACGCAAAATGTACCACACAAAGTCTAACACACACACACACACACACACACACACTCACTCCCCAGCTGCTGCTTTGCCCACCCTCACGGCCAAAACTCATGGAAAACTTTGGCTTTTTGGAATGTCTGTGTGCCTGGGACCTGTGTGGCCCCTTGGTGTATCAGCTGGGCTGGGCTGGGTGTGTGGGGAGGGTGTGAATCCTTGGGATACACAGGGGAAAGGCTGGGTTTTGTTAAAGCAGGAGCCGAGGGTTGGGGATGGCAGAACCACCTTGGCTGTGGAGAGCTGGGAAACCTCTGCAGGAATTCCCAGCACCAATCCCACAGCCTGACCCACCACAGCCCCTGCCCCCAGGCACTGGTGTCCCTGGGCACAGCATCCCGTGGCTTCTCCTGTGTTCATGTAACTCCTTTTTCTCTGGATTTGGAGTAGATCCAGCACGGTCTGATCCCAGCACCAAAGTCCCTGGCATAGTGTTTGTCCTTTTTTTTTTTTTTTTTTTTTTGTAAACTGCTTGTTTTTTTCTTCTTGTAATAAAATATCACAGTTATTTTTTACATGCTTTGAACCCCTTGTTTGCTTCCTGTCTCGTTCTTGGAGCTCCAGTGCAATGGGACGGACGTTGGTGGGAGTGAGCAGGAATGTGCTGGGGGAATTGGGGTTTTAGAACCTGATTGAAAAGAATCATTGGCAATCCTTGATTGTTCTTCCCTCCCTGCCTGTTCCAGGCTCTGGGAATCAGGCGTATTTCAGAGCATGTTAAAGGAGGGGGGGGGAAAAAACTTAAGAGCATTATTCTGGGGCAAATTGCAGCATTTTTGGGTTTGATTAAATATTTGCTGATTGTTGCTTTGGAGGCCCTTTGGCCTTTGATGTAGGAATGATACGGATGGGATTGGAGGTGGAGGTGCAGCATCAAGCCAGAGCAGGAGCTGTGGGGTGGAAGCACCAAAAATAACTGGTTTGTGCAGCTTGGTGTGAGATCCAGACTTTGTCCCAGCAGCAAGAATTATCCTGCAAGATCATCATCCCAAAATGGCTGGGAGGGCAGCCAGTCCCTGTGGATTCTTTTGGAGAAGGTGAAGGAGAACAGTGGAGGAAAGGCTTTAAGTTGAAGAAGGGTAGATTTAGACAGGATTTTTAGGGAGAAATTCTCCCCTGTGAGAGGGGGGAGGCCCTGTCCCAGGTTGGGCAGAGAAGCTGTGGCTGCCCCTGGATCCCTGGAAGTGTCCAAGGCCAGGTTGGACGGGGCTTGGAGCAACCTGGGCTAGTGGAAGGTGACCCTGCCCATGGCAGGGGTTGAAACTGGAAGGGCTTTAAAGTCCCTTCCAACCCAAAGCATCCCGTTCCTGTGCGATCTCCAGGTGGGATGCGGTGCCGGGAAGCAGCTGGCACTAGAGGGCAGCAGCCCCTCGCGCCGGGCAGGATGGGGGGACAGCGGGACAGGGACAGGACAGGGACAGCGGGACAGGGATAGGACAGGGACAGCAGGACAGGGATAGGACAGGGACAGCAGGACAGGGCATGGTGGGGTTCCTGCTTCCTCCTCCACACCAGGGTCCTGCAGGGATCCCACCGCGGGATGGCTCCAGCTCAACCACCCCCGTGGGGACAATCCAAGGGGATTTTTCCACCCGTCTGGTCACACCTGGGGGAAGAGCAGGGATGGAACGAGGTGAGCGGCTCCGAGCTGCACCCCAGGAGATCCCATAGCACACAGGCTGGGAGCTGAACCCCCGAATCCTATGGAAGCTTGGCCTTAGGGGGTTGTGCCGGAATTTGGGCTGAGAAGGTTGGTTTATGGAGGAATATCCTCTTCCTAAGAAGGGAAGCCCAGGCTGTGCCTGGAACCCTCCAAATCTCCCTTGGCTGGGGATTTTGGGATGCCCTCAGGGAGTGGTGTCCCCATCAGCAGCGGCCGGGAGGGATGATCTGCACCGGGATAGGGACGTGCTCGGGCAGGGAGACTTGGACAGCAGGATCCCCAACCCCAAACCAGCCCTTCTTCCAGCCCCTCTGAGGTCCCACTCCCTTTGGAGACATCCCTGTGGTGACAAAGGAATGAGGGATGGGGGGGACAGACCCCCTCAAACACACCCCCGCTTCCAAAACCTGCTTTTATTTACATTTCAAGTCGAATCACATGCGAACTCTTGGTTTGGTTTTTTTTTGTATGTTTTTTTTTTTCCTTTCCTTAAGAAGAGTGTGATTAGCAAAAAAGACGCATTATTAGAATTTCCAAATAGCAATTAAATATACAAAAATAGAGCTTACAAAAAAACCAAACGAACAAGAGGAAAAAAAAAAAAAAAAACAAAAACCAAAACAGCGAATGTTTTAAAAAATATTCTGCTGCAGAATCCGTAGTGTACAAACACGTCTATGAGGCTCCACGCTCCATAAACAGTCCTGGGAGGAATTTACGGGATGGGGGGACGGCACCCGGAGCACCCCCAGCCCTGCACCCGGGAAAGCCGCTGCCGTGTAATACTGACACCCCCCCTCCCCAAAATCCAGGGAATATGAGTTGTGAGGATGGCGGGGGACACCCAGATCTGTGGCTGGAGAGGTGAGGGGGTGGCCCAGCTCCCCACCATGAGGACGGTGGGTTTGGGGGGCTGCCCAGAGACCCCCCGGGCCAGGCTGGAAGCGATGGGATGATCCCAAAAGCCAGGATTTTTGCCTGCCCCCTCCATGCCATGGCTCTCACTGCTATTGGGTGACACCAGGATGGTGCCCGTTCCAGGGACTCCTGAGGTAGCCGAGGAGGGGGACAACCGCCCCCAGGCAGGGCGGGTGGGGAATCCAAACCCAGGAGACCCCACACAGCCACCACCCGCTGCCCCCCGGGGGTGACACCGGCGCTGAGGGGGCACCCAACCGCAGCACGATCCCGGGGGCCAGACCCCATTTCCTGGTGGGAATGGCAAAGGCAAAGGAACCAAAGGCGAAGAGAGGAGGGAGCAGGAACCGGCCGTGGTGCTCCAGGGTCCCCCCAGTGTTTGGGGCACCGTCGGCGGGCGTGGGAGGCACCAGGAGCCGGGGGAGGACGTCGAGGCGTTCCAGGTGCCACCGCGCTGCTTCCCGGCGGCCGCGGCGCTGGAGAAGGGATGTGCTGGAAGAAGGATGTGGTGCTGAGGATCCCGAGCCCCCTCCTCGCCCCGGCAGCGGAACCGAGCCCGGGCTCGAGGGTCAGGCCCTTCATCCGTCGGGATTTGGGGCTCCCCAGCTTCGTCCCCGGTGCTTTGGCTGTGTCCGAGTGCCGCGGGCGGGAGCGGCCCCGGCCCGGCCCCGGAGGGCACTATACGATGTTCTGGGCCCCGGGCAGGGGGCCCTGGGGGGGGCCGGGATCCGGCTTCCCGTGGAGCTGTGCCAGCTGCAGCACCGGCATGTTACACAGTGGGCACACCTTCCGCACCTCCAGCCACTTGATGAGGCACCTGCGGGACACGGGGGGACACCGGCGTTAGTGGGGACACCTGGAGTAGTGGGATCACAGCTGGAATAGTGAGGACACACCTGGGATAGTGGGGACACACCTGGAATAGTGGGGACACACCTGGAATAGTGGGGACACATGTGGAATAAGTAGGGACATACATGGAATAGTGAGGACACACCTGGGATAGTGGGGACACACCTGGAATAGTGGGGACACAAGTGGAATAGTGGGGACATACATGGAATAGTGGGGACACACCTGGAATAGTGGGGACACATGTGGAATAGTAGGGACATACATGGAATAGTGAGGACACACCTGGAATAGTGGGGACACACCTGGAATAGTGGGGACACAAGTGGAATAGTGGGGACATACATGGAATAGTGAGGACACACCTGGAATAGTGGGGACACAAGTGGAATAGTGGGGACATACATGGAATAGTGGGGACACACCTGAGATAGTGGGGACACAAGTGGAATAGTGGGGACATACATGGAATAGTGGGG